GGCAAGTGCCTATAGTCCCAGCTACTAGGGAGGCTGAGGCAAGAGAATTACTTGAGCCCAAGAGTTTGAGGTTGTTGTGAGCTATGATGTTATAGCACTCTGCTGAGGGAGACAAAGTAAGACTCCTCAAAAAAAAAAAAAAAAAGGATTGCGATTTAGGGAGGATTTCCCCTTATTTTTCAACTTCTTTTTCTTCCTGACTCAGCATAATATATCTAGCCTCCCCCGATGCCTGGACCATAAAAATGAATAAATGAATGAATTGCTGTTTGTGAATGAGTGAATTGTTTGTGTGTGAGAGATTCAGAGCATTGTTGATAGTTTGAAATGACCTAAATTAATGACTTCCCACTTGGTCATTAGTTTTCTCTGCCAGGGAAAGAAAGGGTAAAGTCCTAAACACATACACTCCGAGGGCTGTATCAAACAACATGCAGTCAATCAGTTGTTAAACCACAGCCCTGGTCCCCAGTGTCCTTAGGGTAACATTCTGTCTTGAATCACGCGCATTTAAGGAACAAGGCAGTGGGATGGGAGACTGAAACACAGGTCAATTCCACTTTAGAACCACTAGGTGGCACCTGTTCTAGGAATTGCAAAATGGCTTGTTCACAGCTTGGCACTTTGGTCAGCCTGGCATGATTGAAATGCCAAGTTCTTGCTGAGCAGGTAAAGGAGTTTGCTAGGGCCAATGCTGCCAGGTGTGGTTGGAGGAGTCAGTGCCCTAGGAGGGGCCTGGAGTCATGACACTGGTGCTGAGCCTATACTTTATAAGATAGCAATCCTTCCCACCACCTCCTTGATCTCTATCCTTAAGCCCTTCTTTACTTTCTTTTTAACAGTCATCATTGCTTTACTTTACATTATATATTCATTTTCTTATAGTCTGTCTCCCCTCATTGGAATATAAATTCCACAAGGGCAGGCTCTTTATTTTGCTCACTGCAATATCCTATAATGTCTAGCACTTACTAGGTCCTCAATAAATCTATGTTGCATAAATGAATGAGTAAATACATAAATTTTTAGTAACTAAGATCTGTAGTTCTCTTTATGAGATGCTCTGAAAATCAAGCAATACTGGGTTACTGTCATTGTTTTCAGCAGGTGAGTTTAATTTAATCTATTCAACTAAGGCAACTGCCTGTGAATTAGAGTCACGTCATTTTGTAAATGTATTTTGATTCTGCTGAGAAAATGCAACGTGATCCCTGCTGAGTAGTTATGTCTTCGTGACTATACTGCTGACATAGATCACAGTAGCAGCCGTGCTGGGTTAATGGGCCCCTGAGGATGGTCCCCTGCAGGCTGGCTGATCAGGACTCCCTAAAGGGAGATGGAGGCAGGGTGCCACAAATATTAGGACACCAGAGCTGGGCTCACAAGCCCCTGGAGGAGAAGATGGTCACAGAAAAAAACCCTCATTGAGGCCTCTAAAGTTCTATAGATGGGTCCCTACCGGGCATCCCAGGACCTGGAATGAGAGGCAGCTGATGATTTCCCTAGCAGGAGGGCTCCCTCAACTTGATGAGGAACTGCTTTACTATAGCCTCAGCTCATGCATTTACCTCCCAAATGCTGGTTAGAAGTAGTGTAAACTTGGGTAAGGCTCTGAGGACCCATCCTGCTATGTGAGAAGAAGCAGAGATGCTGACAGTCTTTATAAGAGGCATCTCTTCTGGGTAGAGAAGATTGCAGCTGGGCCTGGTAGGACCCCTGGTTTCCTAGCGCACAGCAGCAGCCCACATCCGTGGTGTGTCTTCCTGCAAAGATCTGCTGGAAGGCAAGTGAGTCCTTGCTTTGTGCTGTGCAGCCAGTGCCTTTCCTAAGTTACCACATGACATTTTAAAATGTGGTAAACTTAAACCTACAAACTCAAATCCAGTGAGTGCCTACAGACACACTTAACAGCTCCGAGAGTGATTCAGAGGAAGCAATTTTCCCAAGTGAAGATAATCATCTGTTAGTGTGAAAAGGCAAGCACTCTTTCATTAGCATTAGAAACTCAAGGGAAATGTTACTAAATCTATAGATGTAGCACTTTAGTAAATGGCTAAAAAACAATGTCTACAGCTGGAAGGAAGGACATGTACAGATTCCACTCCCACTCAGAGTTCACCCACAGAACTAGTTCTCTGGAGGGAAAGTGGAAGCTCAGCTCTGACCTCTTCCTATTTACTTACTAAACAGCTCCTCAAAGTCCTGGTTCCTGTGCCCATACAGGAAATCCCAGATGTAAGAGCTCCCTGGTCTTCTTTTATCTGCCTACTTTTCCCAGGTGACCCTAACATGGGATAAGTCTCATGTCTTTATTCTGTGGCATTAAAATGTATATTCTGGCCCTGACCTCTCCTGGGGTTTCATAGAACTAATTGCCTATCTGAACTCTTCACTTGGATGTCTAATAGGCACCTTGAATCTAGAATGGCCAAGACAGAATTCTCCAGCTTCTATCTTTGCCAGTGTCATATTGTTGCATAAGAAATTGCTTCAAAACCTAATAACTTAAAACAACATTAGTCATTACTTTTGCTCACAAATCTGTTATTTTTGTGTGGCCCAATGGGGACTGCTCCATGAAGCGTCAGCTGGAGCAGCTGGATATGGGGCTGGAGAGTCTGTTTGCAAGATGGCTCCCTCATAGCTGGCAAGTTTTGCTGGCTGCTGCCTGGGAGCGCAGCCCGGCCTGTGGGTGGAGGGACTGTAGTTCCTCTCCACATGGTCTCCCCACAGGCTGCTGTGGCTTCCTCAAGGCATTGACTGAGCCAAGTGTGAGTATCCTAAGGAAGGAAGTGGAAACTGTTAGTGTCTTAAGCCCTGGGTCTGGACGTGGTAAAGCATTATATACGCGCTACCATATAATATAGGGGAAGGGGACATAGATACCAACTTACCATGGAAGGAGCATAAAAGAATTTGCAAATGTGTTTTAAAACTGCCACAGGCTGGGCTCAGTGGCTCATGCCTATAATCCTATATTTTGGTAGACAGAGGTGGGAAGATTGCTTGAGGCCAGGTATTCGAGCCAGCCTGAACAAGAGCAAGACCCTGTCTCTACAAAAAGTAGAAAAATTAGCTGGCAGGGTAGTGTGCACCAATAGTTCTAGCTATTTGGGAGGCTGATGTGGGAAGATCGCTTGAGCCCAGGAGTTTGAAGTTGTAGTGACCTGTGATAACCCCACTGTACTCTAGCCTAGGAGACAGAGCAAGACCCTGTTTCAAAAAACAAAATAAAACGAAAACAAAAAACCGCCACATGTCGCAGTCTTCTCCGTCTCCTGGTTGCTCAGGCAACTAGGAGTCATCTTTGACTGCTGTCTTTCCCTTGCCCCTTTCATCTAATCCCTATCAGCACATTCTGTTGACTATCCCCCGAAACGTGTCCAGAATCCTTCTCTCTCATCTCCATTACTAACGACCCTAATCCAGACAAAACTCCAGATAGCCTGTTAACTGCTGTCTGCTTGCGTGCCTGCTTCCTAAAACCCATTCATAGATAACCAGAGCTATCTTTTAAAAACATAAATCAGTTGGGAAGCTGAGGCAGGAGAATCACTTGGGCCCAAGAGTTTAAGGTTGCTGTGAGCTGTGACACAACAGCGCTCTACCAAGGGTGACATAGTCTCTGTCTCAGAAACAACAATAACAAAAATAAATAAATATGGCTCGGCGCCTATAGCTCAACCGGCTAAGGCGCCAGCCACATACACTTAAGGTGGCGGGTTCGAATCCCCAGCCCGGACCCGCCAAACAACAATGACGGCTGCAACCAAAAAATAGCCGGGCGTTGTGGCGGGCGCCTGTGGTCCCAGCTACTTGGGAGGCGGAGGCAGGAGACTCGCTTGAGCCCAGGAGTTGGAGGTTGCTGTGAGCTGTAATGCCATGGCACTCTACCCAGGGGGACAGCTTGAGGCTCTGTCTCAAAAAAAAAAAAAAAAAAATAAAAAAAATAAATAAATAAATAAATAAATAAATCAGATCATCTCATTCCTCTGCTTATCTCCATTCAAAGTGTCATGACATATTTAGAACTAAACCCGACCCTTTCATTCTAATTCCAAAGCCCAGTGTCATCTGCCCCCTATCTGGTTCTGTGGCCTCATCTGAGGCCACTTGCCTTCTCACAAGACTGCAGTACACACACATGCTGGCTGCTGCTTTTGCACTTGGTTTTTCTCTATCTGGAAAACTCTTCCCCCTGATTTTCCCAAGGCTGTTCCTTCTTGCTATTTAGTTTTCAGTTGAAACAGCATTTCCCCACAGAGGCCATATATAATCCCCCAAACCTGAAATAGACACCCAGTCCTGTGTTACAGCAACATATTTTAATTTTCAACATAGTATTATTGCTACCACTAGCTGATACTTTTCGTGTTAATTTATTTGTTCATTGTCTCTTCCCTCTAGAACAGTGGTTCTCAATCTTCCTAATATCACTATGTATTTTCATTGTTACAAAGGGGTCGTGACCCACAGGTTGAGAACCGCTGCTCTAGAATGTAAACTCAGTAAGGGCAGGGACCTTGTCTGTCTTATCACTGTGTATGCCTAGAGCCTAAAACAGTGCACAGAACAGATGGTTGGTAAAATATTTATTGATTTAGCAGATGGCAACAGCAGCTCCAGACAGCGGGCTGCAGTGTCTCTCAAGGTAGTTGACAGGAATAGAGAGAAAACTCCAGGAGGGCCTCATAGGCTTCTGCCTGTACCAGGAGCACAGCTCTGGTGTGTCGGCCTGCTTCATAGCGACCAGGTTTATGCAGCCTCCTTCAAACCCCTGGAGTATTTCCATCCCTAGCCTTCTTATGAAATCAGCAAGACAGAATTGCACAGTCATGAGCACAAAGTTACTAACATGCTTGGACAGAATGGTGCAGCTCAGCTTACCTCACCTCCATAGCAGTCAGGTCACTAACTCGGGTTATGTTACATTTGAAGTTTTTTCTTATGGTTAGTCTTAGAAATACAGGTCACCTTCCAGTGAAATGAATTCCAAGTGCTTGTTTTAATAAAGTTTTAAAAAATGAAGGTGTTCAAACTTTTGAAGAGAAATCTAAAAATGGGTATTAAGACCCATCCAAATAAAGAAGACATTTTTGGTTAGAGCTTTAAAAATATCTATGTTATTAATAGGTTAAAAAAGAAACAAACAATAACACTGAGGTGAAAATCCAGCTCGACAGTAATGAAATAGGTTTGTGGTATTTTTTTTTTATACTTGTTAAACATTTTTAGGACTTTGGTATAAAGACTTGTTATTGGAATAATCAAACATGATGGTTGTATATTCATTCATTAGGGAAGTGGCAGCTTGTTTGATAGAATTCTTTTTTATTCATGTCATGAGATTTTGCTTGGAGATTTAAATGTTTAAAAGTTCAATAATATTGAAAGTCAAACTTCAAGAAAATGATCATGAGGCCCTGCCGAGCTGACCCAAAGTGAGAGGATTGTGTGCACTCAGAGGCTGGGGTTTGTGCAGCTGCTTCTGAGAGCGGTGTCACCATTAGAACAACACCCGTAGGCGTGCTAATCACGTCCTTGGAGCAGAGTGGGAAAGGAAGGAAAACATGGCAAACTGGGGCTCACAGAGCCCACCTGGCCCTCAGCCCCTTTGCAGTGGGAAGCCCACGGGTGGAAGCAGAACCCTTGGTGGTGCTGACTCAGTGGTGAAAGCTCCTTTCATGACAATAGATGATTCTCATCCACCCAGGAAATCAGTTTGCCTGGAATCCTCGAAGGCCTAAGGCAGTGTCCAGCAGAGTGTCCAAGAGCACCGTTGAAGGTGCTGAAAAGGCACTGTGCATTTGCTGCAGGGTAGAAGCTGGCAATAAATGTACATGATTATGTCTCCAGAAGTGCTTAGTTTTTATCTTTTTATTTCTAATTCTTTATGCTTTAAGTATTTTTAAATGATCACTGCTTAGAACTCAAGCCCCTAAGATCACACTTACATCACACGGGCTGGCAAAGTCTGTGGAGAAAAAGAGTCCTCCCAGGTCTTGGGTGAGTGGAGGCACCTGCAGGGCTCTCCCTTCCCCTCCTCCCTTGCCTGTTCCACCTGGTCAGAGCCTGCACATGGGTGCAGAGGGCTCCTTTAGGGAGGGCCAGAATGGAGGAAGATGAAGTTTCAGACTAAGCAGCCCCTTCTGGGCCTCCTTTCCACCACAGACTCCTCGAGGAGACACCAGAAGGTCAGATGAGTCTCACCGAGGCTGACTAAAGTCCAGCTCAGCCAGCCTTTGCTAGATCCAAGACATCTACCACAGCCATGAGAAGCGGTGCCACTCAAAGCCATTCTCAGTTCGCATCCACAATGCTGGGAAAGAAAGAACAAGTTCAATTTACCAAAATATCTGTATTATCCATAAAAACTGAACTCTAGTGAGTCACTGATACTGGAGGCAGCAACATCCGACCGTGTGCTGACATGCAGGAGGAGGATAGCTCCGCCCCACGGGGCCCACAGCAGAGCATTTGTACTGAGTGGCATGTGAGCAGAGTCATTTGTAAGGCCTCAAAAACCTGGACACTTTGGAACGTAGCAATCGGATGAAAGATCTTGGAAACATCTCTCGGGACTCCTGGGCTGTGTACTTGAAATAGTTCTGGGGGTGGGCCAGGACATCAAACAGGGCCTTGATCAGTTTCTTATCCTAAAGAGAACAGAATTTTTGTTACTGGGCCAAAATATTTAAATATTCTGACGTTTTGCCCATGGAACTATAATGACCCAGTATTAGGCAGTAGGTTGATTAGCTGAAAAACACTTTGTGAAGATTGTTTCCTGTGATTTTTATCTTCTTTCCCATTTTCATTTTTCCTAATTATCTACAGTAAGTATGTATTACTTTCTAAATAAAAAGTTAATATGTTAAAAAAACATTTTCTTTTTCACAACCAGAGGAAGGCAACACTGGGATTGGGGGTATTTATAGTTAGTGATATGGCAAGTGTTTATTGGTAATTACTTGTAAGTATCTAAACTTCAGTTACCTCTAGGCTTGAAGTATGATACGTAAGGAGCCATGGAGCCTCAACTATTTGGAATCAATATGAAATCATTATTTGCTGGCTTGGATTTATAACCAAATTTCCCTTATCGCTCCACAAATTTCCAAATTAAAAAAAATCCACCTTCATTTGATACATTAAAGATAGCAATCTGATTTTTTAAAATTAAGTCTGATAAAGGTATAAAATTGAGTTTGGCCCCAGGCAGTCTTGGTGTCTGAAAGGCAGCAGGACAGAGCAGGAGAAGCTTCTCCAATAGTGCTGGGGAGCTCTGTGGATAACAGCCATGTCCACCTGAGCACCCACTCACCTTAAGTATTTCCTGATGGTTCTCAGATGCATAGAGCCTGCCATCTCGAACTATGTCTTCAATGAGTTCCTGGTAGTCCTCTGTTGAAATAAAGGACACATTCTGTGTTATGATTTCGTTATTTCCAAACTCACTCTTTGTCTTTTTGATAAGTGCCGGAGACATGCCCTTCTGTAGCTGCTACTGAACACTTACCATTGTGATTCTGAGAAGGCAATCGAGAGAATGTCCTCAGACTCCTCTGACCACCTCTACTCACCTACCAGCATCTACACCTGTCTTCCCTGTTCCCACTTCCCTCAGATGAGCCCTTTGTGCATCCAGTCAAGGTCCATCCATCCACTTGGCACAGCAGATACACCTTCCCTCACCAAATCAAGGGCGTTGGTCCAGTAACTCTGCTCTTTCTTTCCTACATGATAAAACATTCTCTCTCTACTGGTCTTTCCTACCAGCATGCAAATAGGCTAGTGTCTCTGATCTTTAAAAAAATCCCTTTCTTAACCTCATTTTTTCCCTCACCTTCCATCCCACTTCTCTGATCCTCTTTGCAGCAGAAATCCTTGAATTGTTAACACTGACTGTCTCTGATTCTGTTTCCTTCTCTCCTAAGGCCCCCACCACTCCTCTACAACTGCTAGTTTTGTTTTTGTTTTAAGAGACGGTGTCTCACTCAGTTGCCTGGGCTGGAGTACAGTGGTGTGATAATAGCTGACTTTAGTCTACAACTCCTAGGTTCAAAAATCTCCTGTCTCAGCCTCCTGAGTATCTGGTATTACAGCCACCACTTCTGGCTCCCCAAACTGCTTGTTAAGATCAGCGAGGACTTTCATATGGCTAAATACCAATGGTCAACTTTTGGTCTTCATTCTTCTTGATGCATCAGTAGCATTTGACCTGGCTGAGCACCCCTCAGCCTTGAGACAGTTTTTTGCTTTCAGGAAACCATACTCTCTGGTCTCCGTCCTACTTTTTACCCTCTGAGGCTTCTTTGCTTTTCCTTCTCTTTCTGAGCTTTTACTGTAGGAGCGTCCCAGTGCTCAGTCCTTGGTCCTCTTTTCTTTGAGAGCTCATCCAGGCCTTCTTTTCCCTCTCCATTCCTTCTACCCTTTGCTCTCTATCTTTATATGATGTAAAACAATCAAGCTTCTTACCCACCAAGCAAGACTCTTCTCTTCTTTAGTTGAATGGAACTGTGGGGTGGAGAATGTGGCTGGTTGAGGAGTTAGAAAGCTAAGTTTGCTTTCTCATTAACATTTTTTTTTTTTTTGCCATGACATCCATATTAAATGCAGCACACACTATAATCCTTATTGAGCATAAATCCTCCCCTTTAAAATCTAGTTCATGTCCTACAGTCATAATACAAATTAAGCATATGCAAAATGCAAGGTTACCTCAGCCTCCAGAGTAGCTGGGACTACAGGAGCCTGCCATCACACTTAGCTAGTTTTTTTTTTTTTTTTCTGGTTTTGGTAGAGACAGGGTCTTGCTCTTCCTCAGGCTGGTCTTGAACTCCTAAGCTCAAGCAATCTATCTGCCTTGGCCTCCCAGAATGCTAGAATTTCAGGTGTGAGCCACTGAAACTGGCCTGCAAAGCACAATCTTTTCCAAATTCCAGACACAGAAAAAATGCCTCTTTGTATGCATATCATGTGCAACAAGCCAAACAGATTATAAGAACAGTGTTGAAACTGTATACCAGGATGTCTTAAAAACTTTCAGTTAAGAGATAGTAAATGGAAACGAATAGTGTTATATTCACAATAACTATGCTGATACATTTACTGTATCATTGGCATCTTTCTTTAGTGTGGTATATTTCTTCATATTCTTTTATTTTAGTGGGTATAAAATATAAGAAAGAGTACAATTATTTTGTCTTGAATCCCTCTGCAGCAGCAGCATGTATATCTCAGAGCATTGGCTCCTCTTGATAATGGGGGTTTACCATTAAGATGTCAGTTGCTGTGCTGCATTCTGGTCTAGTAGAAAATTGGACAGCTGTCTGCCACTATACCAAATACTTCTAGACTGTTGTCATTTATTTATTTATTTTTTTGAGACACATTTTCACTCAGTTGCCCTGGGTAGAGTGCCACGGCATCATAGCTCAGAGCAACCTCCAACTCTTGGGCTTCAGCAATCCTCTTGCTTCAGCCTCTGGAGTAGCTGGGACTACAGGTGCCGGCCATGAAGCCCAACTAGTTTTGCTATTTTTAATAGAGATGGGGGTCTCGCTCTTGCTAGGCTGGTCTCAAACTCCTGAGCTCAAGCAAACCACCTGCCTTGGCCTCCCAGAGTGCTGCTAGGATTACAGGCATGAGCCACCATGTCCAGCCAGTCATTGTCTTTTAAAAAATATTTCCTCTCCTTTTAAGAACTGTGTCTCCTCATTTGCTCCAACTCATTAGAAATGAAGTTAAATATTTCAGGTAAGAATCCAGGCTCTTGAGTCACAAAGACCTGGGTCAGTCCCAGCTTTGCAACTTTGTCACACTGTGACCTTAGGCTGGACACTTAAACCTCTAAGCCTGAGTGGCCTCATCAGTAAAATCGGGAAATAACCGTGTCTATTTCATGGGGTGGCTCTGAGGAATGCACCACATAAAAGGCGCTGCACATGCCTGGCAGTCAGCAATGCTTGGTGCACATCAGTCACAGCTGCAATTCTTCCCATTCTCCAGCAGTCAGGGGGCTTGTCTGTAGCAGCCTGCTATGTACCTTCTAAATGTGATTTCTATTCTTCTGAATATGGAAAGCAAAAGTCCAACTTATTTAAAATACATGTTTTTAAAAAATGACTAAGTGAAGACCTAAGGACCTTCTGTATGGCCAAAGTAGCAGTTTTCAATTTTTTTTGCTATGACACATGCAAGACGCACTTTCGAACAGTGTTATGTGTAGTTTCCTGAAGTTTTAATTTAAAAAAATTAAGACATTTTCATGTGTCACAGAGGCAGAATTGAAAATAGCCATACTTAAAGAGTGGAGCTGTGGTGACATGTATTCTGGAGTCTCAGTCTTTTTTTGCTTCCTTCCTGATTCCAAGTAGAAGAGGTTGCCAGTTGGTTTCTTTCAGGTAAGTGAAGTTCCCTATCCTTCTGGGCAGAGCCACGTGGGAGGCACTGTGTACACCCCAGGAGTCAGAGACTAAAACCCCTTGTTTTGGGAGTCTGACATTATTTCAGGCAACTGTACTACAGGGATGACGATCTTAGTTTTTCTCACACATTTGAAATAAACTATATGAAGTGTTTTTAGGAAAGCCACAGGATATTATCTTTCCAAACATCTAACTTTGGCACTTGTCTGCCTAAAAACCTTCAATGGCTCCCTAAAGGTTAGGTTTACCCTCTTGACCTTGGCCCTCAAGGCTCTTCCCAGACTAACTCCACCCCTTATAGTCTCCTCTCTCCCTGCCAAACTGCCTGCACCCTACCCCCTGGCCAAATCAGACTGCTCATCAGTCTCCACACAGGCCAGGTCCTCCATTCTTTGGCTTAAGTCATTTCCTCTTTCTGAATGTTTTTCTTCCTCCAAAACTTACATGTTTTTTTCAAGACCCAAATCTCTTGAGACTTTGCTCTATTCCAGCGGTTCTCAACCTGTGGGTTGTGACCAATGAAAATACATCCTACATATCAGATATTTACATTACAATTCATAACAGTAGCAAAATTACAGTTATGAAGTAGCAACAAAAATAATTTTATGGTTGGGGGTCACCACAACACGAGGCACTGTAATAAGGGTTGTGGCATTAGGAAGGTTGAGAACCACTGCTCTATTCCATCTAAAAGCCCAGGAAAAATTATCTATGCTCACACAGTGCTTTGTACATGCCCTGTTACAGCACCTGTGACAATGTACACATTTTTGTGTTTCTGTCACTAACCAGGTTGTCTCTAGCACCAGTGCCGGCATAGTAGATGCTCATTAAATGTGCTGGATGAATGAATGGTAACATCATACATGAATGGATGACTCTTCCCCCACAAGACTGTAAGGATCTCCAGTTCATGTTATGCTCCTAGTAGCCAAGTCCCAGGGCTGAGTAGGACCCCCGGGCTCAGGTGGGCCACCCCTTCATTTATCATGAAGATATGAAACCAGAAGTCATCTTATTTTCCCAAGATCACATAGTAAGTCAGTGGCAAAGTCAGAACCATAACTTACATCATTTTTCAACCCTCAGAATTCTATTTAATAAAAGCCATGATCATAAGAAGTTGGTATTTATTGAGCAATTACTATATGCTGGGCTCTTCAGGAACTCTGACTGAACTCACAGGTGATGTCTAATGATTACCTCTGTTTACATGTTAAGAACACTAGGCTTAGAGATGGTAAATAACATACACCGAGTCAAAGAGGAGATTACAGATAGGCTGTCTGACTCCAATGCCCATGTTCTTATCCACCAAGCTATGCTAGCTTTCAGTATTCAGAGAGTCTCCCCAAAATGTATACACATTTTAAGAAAGAAGAAACACTGTCTTAAATTTGTAATACTCAAGCCATGTTTGACTTCTGCAATTATAAGAGGTGCTCAACATGACCTGTATCCATCCTTTGTCAATGGTATATATTGAGTCCTAGCATTTTAATGCATCTTTTTCTGTTTTTAAAATATGTATACATTTCTTGGCACCACCTGTGTTTTCTAAACCATCTTTTCATCTTAGTCAATGTCCCCAAATGCCTGTTTAGAATTTGGCACTTGTGAGTCAGCAATGTCCTTTCCCCTCATCCTGCCTGCCTTTCTGAGCATGTGTGCTTGTCAGCAATCTGCCAGCTGGCTCAGGAGTTGGTTCTGTTCAAAGCAGAGACGTTCCTTCCATTTGCTGCAGGCTAAGCTTCGCAGCACTTACCATCGTAGGTCACATATGGGACCTGGAACCCTCTGGCACTATTCCCTTCATTGGATTTAAACTGAATCCACAGCTTCTTTGACCTGGAGGTGAAGGCGATGGGGCGTTCATAGGTCTGGCAGGTCTCATACGTTGTCACAGAATTGGACGAAGCTGCCAAGGGAAGTTAGGAGGGGGTGGGGTTCAAGACTCATCACTGATCAGCCAGACAATGAACGTCCATCTTTCCAAACACTCAAGCCATAAACAAGCTAGTCTCAAGAGCTCCTCAGGCCCAGCTGAGCCATCATAACAGTCAAAGTCCTGGAACTAGAGTAGATTCAGCTGGGGATTGTGGGCCCCCAGAGAAGGCTCAGCTGGGAAGGCCCATGGTAGGCAAATGGCAGCAACCCAGGCTATAGTATTTACTTAAGAACTGAAGAGGGCTTCAAATTCCAGAGCTGACCTGTTATTACCTAATAACATTAGAAAAGCCATTTACTACATGCATCCTCAGACCAGGCAATGTGCTAAGCATTTTTATGGGCTTTATCTCATTTAATTCTCTGAAAGACATAGAGAGTTAGTGCAATTGTTACCTCCTTTATAGAGAGATGTTGCCCAGGATCAGGCAGCCAGGATGTGGTAAAGCAAGGATTTAAACCTACACCTGACTTGTGACATTTTAACTATTAATAAGAATAGCAAACATTTGTATAATGGCTCCATGTGTCATTATTATTCTAAATGTTTTATAAATATGAACTCCTTTAGCCCTCACAACAACCCTATGAGGTAGCAACTTTTATTATCCCCATACTAACAGATGAGGAGACTTAAATGCAGAAATATTCAGAACCAAAATCATAGAACTAACAAGAGGTAGAGTTGGGGTTGAGATCCAGGCAGTCTGGCTGCAGAATCCACTTGTTACACTGCCCCTAGGTTGTGTTAACAGCAGCATCCTTTTGTGGACACTGGGCCGTGAGTCAGGATAGGAGGACAGGTCCCCTCCCGGCTGGGCCAGGCCAGTCCTCAAGTGAGGCACACTGTCTGTGGCCAGAACTACATTATCCTCATTGGCTTTCTGTCCTTATAGAAGGGGGTCTAACACATCCAGAGAGCGCAGAGGGGAAGACTGACTTGCAGGGTCATTACCTCTGGGGTTCAACAAGAGGCCTCAGTGTATAGTTTTAGTCTAAATTTTGTTTCTTGGCAAACTATAAACTCACATCCCATCTCCGTTCTAATATGGAAGTGATATTCTAGGCCTGCTCCTCACATGTAAAGCCTGGGAGCAGGTCATCAGTCTTCCCAGCTGGCCTTAGCAGGGGAGGGGAGCACAGAGGGAGACGCACAGGTTTTCCGCATCACCAGGTAGTCTCCACAGTCGTCCTCTATGGGGAGGAAGATCTCAGGGACCACAATCAAGATGCGGCGCTTAGGGGGTGGGTTGATGGTCCATGTACACTCGGTGTTGGCTGGGTAATTGCCTGGGTAGTTTGGGGATTCGATGTATCCAGTGAAATCTCCCAGCTCCCCTCCACATCTTCTGTCTGGAAAAGGAAATGCCCTGAGTTATGAAGGCCCCACACTGTTGTCTCTCTGTCATGGCCACCACTAGCTTGGCTCAACACCATGGCATCCCTGTCGTCATCCCGGAGTGGAGCATAGAAATGACACCATCTGGGAGTGAATCTGGCCTGTAATGCTCAGAGCCCCCTTTAGGAGCCAAACCATTAACTCCCCGAAACTCCTTTGAGTTCCTGAGGCACTGTTTTCTCATTAGCCTGAAGGTGCTCAAGGTCAGGGGCAGGTGTTTGGGAACCAAAGGATAAATTTAGCTTTCAAATATTTTGTTTACAAAGTCCAAGTGCCAGGTGAACCCAGGGCAGAGAACTTCTAGGTCCATTAAAATAGGGAGAACAGAGCTCATTTCTCAGTAGAGAATATTGGACTTTTCTTAGAGAATTTTGAAGATGACACAGACATATTTTCCACTTTTCTGTCTAGTTAAGACCCTATTTTAATTTTAGGGGGCCAAAAAAATTCCAATTAGCTCTCAGTGGCATGCTGGATACTCACCTCTGGCGCCAAAGCCTAAGAATGCACAGACTTGCACACACATACCTCCCAACCCCCACACCACCTCAGCTGTATCTCCGTATTCATCAAATCCCCACTCATCCCAGAAATGTTATCCACAGCTCTGCAAGCTCAAAAATGAGAGAGGCACAATCTTGGCTCTCAAGGAGCTTATGTAATACTGTCATGTAAACCTGTGTAAGAGAAGGTGTTGAAAGGATTGCTTTTTTCCTCTTTAATAATAACTGGGATTTATTACTACTAGTAGAAAAAAATACCCAGGCTTTTCTTTTTGGAAGAAAGGGTGAGGAAGGGAGAGCTGTGGAGTGAAGAACTGCCTTCAAGCCTGAAGGGCTGCCCTAGGAACTGTGCTGTGTGATTCTTAAGGGCCAGGTGGTGGGAATACAAGGGAATAGATTCATCTTGATATGAGGAAGGATTTTCTACCACTGTGAACTTCCTCAAAGTCTCATTTACCAGTAGACTAGGGTAAGAGAGGGAGTAAGCTTCCTGTCATAGCAGGTATTCAAGAAAAGACTAGAAAGGCTTGGCGCCCATAGCTCAAAGGTTAGGGTGCCGGCCAGATACACTGGGGCTGACAGGTTCAAACCCAGCCCAGGACTGCTAAACAACAATGACAACTACAACAAAAAAATAGCTGGGCTGGCTTGGCACCTGTGGCTCAAGTGGCTAAGGCACCAGCCACAGACCTGAGCTGGTGGGTTTGAATCCAGCCTGGGTCCGCCAAACAACAATGATGGCTGCAACCAAAAAACAGTGGACACTGTGGTAGGTGCCTGTAGTCCCAGATATTTGGGAGGCGGAGGTAAGAGAATCACTTAAGCCCAGGAGAAGGAGGTCACTGTGAGCTGTGATGCCACAGCACTCTACCCAGGGCAACAGCTTGAGGCTCTGTCTCATAAAAAAAAAAAAAAAA